AGGAAATTTTTTTCTCTTAATTCTCCTTTCAACCAATGGGATTAGAAATGTGATATGATTGATACCTTTTCATTACACTCACTCTCCGTTTTTTTTTGAACAAAATTAATTATTCATCATTGTTCTCATTGTAGGACGGATCAGATCAATGAGAACTATCCATCTCGGTTCATTATCTATTCAATTTTCAAAAGTTAACAAGTAATTTATTAATACAGTATTGCTAGGCTCACTGAATAAAATTTTTCAAAGAATTTTGAACTCAATTTTCTTTAAATTTAATTTTTTTATTCAAATTTCATATAATCTAAATTTCCGGGTCCTCAACTTTCCCGGTAATTCCATCAACTTTGACTTTCGATAAATAACCTGAAATTCTCGTAAATGTCTCCAGTTATTCTTTTAATTTTTAGTTCTAAATAGAAGCCCTCTCACCGGTCGGTTTTTCAATTCGCTAATTTTGCAGAAAATGAAAAAATACGAAATTTTCGCACCATATATGTATTTGAGTACGAAAGGACGTATCAATGATTTCGAAAAATTTTATATATCAAGATATATAAATAAGTCAATGTGAAGCTCGGAGTCTAAAATTTCGTCACACAATATGGGTATTTCTGGAAAGTATTTCTGGGCGCAATTTCAGCTCCATCAGTAGACTAGTTTGAAAAATGCATAGCAATTCCTTGAAAATCTTAGATCCTCCCTGACAAAAACCGACCTGCCTGAATGCAATTTTTTTAGGTCGAAATCTTGTTATAAGTATCCTCCCTTTTTCAAAATACAATCGATATTCAATATTATACTTCATACAAGTTTTATGTCGATATTGCTTCCGTTTTTATTGCTTTTCTTTGCCCAGTTTGTTTTTTTAGTTTGATTGTTTTGCAAAATTATTGAGAAATATTCATAGAACGTGATTATCTTCTAGATTATTTTTCCGTACGCCGTATTACGATTTTTAGTTTAGGAATTGGTATTACATACTCCCCAAACTCGAAAACGTGAAAATACTTACGGAAGAATGCTATCCAGGATTTTAGGATGGAGTTTTTTCACTCGTGTGCTTGACCAGTTGTCGCCTGCGGCTCGAACGTCCTATCCCAACATACCGGAAATAAGCTTGGGTACAGTCAGCCCAAAATCTTTAAATACGTGCGCAGTAACTCGTTGTGCAGAACAAATGCTTATTCATTAATTTCTAAAAAAGCACTTTGTTGAATATTTTTACTAAATTCTGTGCAATTTTAGAAGTCAATAAATTAGATTTTTTGTACTTTTTAAAATTTTATTTGGAAGGTAGTAAGTTCAGGAAAGTAAATTCAGATATAAATAATTCATCATTGCGTATTAACTTTCTGGATACCTACAACATCCGCTCAACGTCGCAGACTTATGTCAACGCGACTTGCTCGGCACAGTGATCTCACCACTGTACTTTATCTTCCATCGCATGATTGAATAATTAACATCTTAGGCCGAAACACCCTCTTCAAATTTAACCATCAATCTGACAAGTACTCTATTAGATACGGTTTTTGCAGCTTTTTAAAAACTTGCAAACATATTTTTTTTTCAATTTTTACAATTGCTTATCAAAGAAGGATTTCAAATTGCACTTTGCTATAAGAATGAAATTGTGACATAAATATATCACTCTTTTGAAAAAAGAAATTCTTCCATTATTTTTCCGACACAACCAATATTTATCGAGTTACGATGCTATAAACAATTATGTCCGGAAGCACCTCCAATTTTGTTTGTTGCATAACTTTTGAAAACCACTTTGGTTTTCTCTTTTCTCGCGCTATAGGATATCTGAGAGGGCTTTCTACCTCATACTTAATTTATATCAAAATAAAAAAAAAAGTTTGTTCATTGAAATAGTGCGGAATACCTGCGTATACACACGATACCTCTTCAATTGTCTCTGTTACCTTCTTCATTATTTTTATATTATGTGTAGTTTCATTGATTATCTCAGTTCCCATTGATCCTACAGCAAAGTGGACAAAATTTCACCACCCACCCCCCTCCCTCGAAGCCCTTGAAAGGCATGGAGAGAAAGTTTCGTAATCTGCAAGTAATCAAAACAGTATTCAGTAATATTAGTATTACGGAACAGTTTCGCATTTTTTCACTGAGGATTCAGGAAAAACTACGGAATGTGTTACGTGCTGTGTCTCTCTGTTTGAGATCGTGAATGCAATGATGGATTCAAAAAAACTCTTTTGGGCGACATCTAATTTTCCAGTTTGAGAATATTCGGAGTCATCTGAATATAACATTCAGAGACATTTCTTCACAATTATGCAAAAGAAAACGTCTAGCCGGATAGCCATGCTGAATCAAGTCCAGCGAAGGCGGCAATGTTTTGATACTTTTTATGACCCAAGGTGATAATTCTATGAAAAATTTGAGATCTTTATCTTGATGCGTTGATTTTTATTGAGTAAAAAAACGTGTTTTTTCATTTTTCTTTTTTCCCTCATTCTAAAATTCGTTTTAAATCTGAAAAAGTTCTAAAAGCCAAACATGCTTCAAACTTGTAGAAAATTTTTGTTCCATATTTTTCCCTACTAAATTCTATTTTTTATCAGTTAATTTTTTTTAATTAAATGTGATGTGTACAGATTTTTCTACTACTCTGAGAAAATTTGAGATGAAAAAATAAGGGGAAAAAGTTTCAATGTTTCGCTTGCAGTACTTTTGGGAAAAATAAAATCGACAATGTTTCACGTTTTTTTATTAAGAAGGCCTACCATTCTTAGAAGCTAATTAACAAGTAATTATAATTCTGCATAGCTACAATTACTAGTTAATTAACTGGTCAATTTACAATTTCAGAAATGTCGTAAATTACCTTTAAAATTTCCTATGTTACGGCGAGTATTTTCTGTGTGTATATGTGAAGCCATATATGAAGAAAAATCCTAAATTGACATACATTATTAGTGAGTTACCAATACTCTTTTCATACATTTTAATATTTATGTATTTTTTTGCATATGTTTGTTATTAATTTTTTTGTTCGGGAATGAACGCGAAAGCATATGAAGTATCGGATTGGTCTGTTGATGTATAACCAACGGCAATTTCCGAAGTTAATTCTTTTATTTTCAAATCATTTGAAACGTGTGCCGTTGTTTATATAGGTTACTTTACTATATGCATTCCTTCACCGTAATCCAAAAGAATCCCCTTGTCGCGTCCTTCCTCCTGATCCTAAACCCCTAGCTGCAATATTTTTACCTAAATCCTCAAAGCCCCCTCCCCCCGGGAGAACCCGCTGTTCTCTTTGAATACAAGTCCAAGGCCCAAACCTTCATCTATTCAAAAAAGATCTTTACCTGGCTGTCTTTCTGACACTCACCCACAATTCCCCTCGGTAACCTCATGAGACATCACTCATTGGTACATGTTATTTCAACTTCAAAATTATTTAATTTTGTAGCCATAGTTCAATGAATCTCAACAGCTACCCTGTACATGACCGTATTTAGTCGCCTTCGATTGATTCAACGATTAATTTTGGAACAGTCAAAGGAAATAAGGCAATTTTAAAGGAACTCTTTTTTCAATGATGGAGATTTTTTTAACGATTTACGTTCGATTTTGGCAATTTGAAGGACTACAAACTCATAATATCATGCCGTGTGCAATCATTTATCTAAAAAAAAAATTATTTTTCAACTCTTTCAATGTTTTGTGACGTTTCGACCATTCTTCCGGGAAACACAAGATGTGTTAAGCTATTATGCACTGCAGAAGTCTTGCAGAGCATTGATGTTTTTTGAACTTTTGACAAGACGTTATAGCCGATTCTTGCTTTTAATTTTCGGGAGTTGTGCTCTTTGAGAGCCACTAAAACTTTTAATAGTTTTAGCTACTTTATTGTCATGTATATTATGAGTCAACTGCAAACAATACTTTCATAATATAAGTAAAAAACAAGCCGTGACAGCAGTTATGCGACTGTGTATGAGTTATTGAAATGTATGGGTATATAGAAAATATTTTCTTTGCCATCAATAAATTGATAAGGTTTTTTGTTTTTTTTCTATTAATTTATATCTATTAGGAATGTTGAATATTATATCTACTACCAATGTATTAAGATGAAAATTTTTACATCAAAGAAAATTGATTCGATTCTATCAATTCTTATTTGTCATATAATCATGTTCCACTAAAAATTAAATATGTATGAGACTAATTGTTCAATTACGCTTGTTTTTTTTGCGCGTGTGAGAGGGCAAACGACATTTTTTTTTTCAAAAACAGAAACGTGACAACAACTAAAACGTCCAATCAAGTTTCCCCCGTTAACAGCAGATTTAAGTTCTTGAATTCAATTGTGAATATTCTTTAAAAATCTTAAATCTTATGAGTATTCATTCATAAGTGTTTACATGTGAACAGAAAAAAGAGAACCGTAAGGAATAAAAAGACGAAAATGATGACAGATACACGGAGCTGAATATTCACTAAAAATTACAAGGAAATGAGGAAGTGTGATTGAAGAAAATTGTGCGAAACTGTTAGAGAACTTAAATGTGAACTTCCTGTGAAAAATTAAGACATTGCGTATTATGATAAATTTTCCGAGGGTTTTTCAGAAGACACTGGCAAATCGCAATCGGATGCACTGGTTGTATTACTTGTACCCAATATTTATCGCAGGAAAAAGAATGAACAGGAAAATTTAAAGCAAAAATCCTCGGGAAGTGGAAAAATTTGAGAGCCCCGGTGGCCGTCGGAATGGGACAGCATCTCGGGCTCCTCGGAGAGAGACACCACTATGAAACCAATGTCAAAGGACTTACGGCGCGGGGGTCCGCGCGGAGTGGAAGACAGGCTAGGCCACGGGCCCGGCTGGTTGGTATCTCAATCAGGTTAGGCTACCCTGGACCCTTGATTCTCTTTCCCCTCTTTTTTTCTCCACCAGTGGTGGGGGCATATTCCTTGCACTACTCTGGAAGTATCGGGCCTTCGGCTTCGGAGCCGTCACAACTCAATCTAGTAACTCCGAGGCTACCGCAACCTTCATACCTGTTTCTCTTAACACGTTCACAACTTTTTTTTGTCGTCTTCCAAACATAAACAATCTATTTTTTCTCATCTCTTCCAGAGCAACTTCATCTTTATCCATTAACAGATCAAATTTTATGCATTGCTGTTGGAAAAATTATCCATGATTGTTTAAGTGAATACTGTGATTAAGTGTTGTAATTTTGATTTTGTGGAGCCATGTGATAATGTGCAAATATCTAGAGAGTGAAATACGAAGGTAAATTACATCAGGCTATCTGCAATTTTTAATTAATGTTTCTTATTGCTCCTAATACACCAAAGATATGTATAATACCATTTCTATATACTTCTCCAATTTACAGAGTATATACCGTAAATCTACACAAATGTTGCGTTTCGATGAATTCCAGCCTGTTTATGATAGTAAATAGAATAGAATCCGTAATCACAGACACAAAAGAATATTTTTATTTAGTTGATGCTTTCACTGTAAAGCTTGCTTGGCATATTTACACTTATCATTGAGCCTTCAGAATCAGGAGATTGACTTAGGGAAAGATAGTTTAAACTAAAAAACCAAGTTTAACAGTCCTCATTTCAAAGCAAAAAGAACAATGGTGAAAAGAAAAAGATGATACAATTGAACACGTTCAAACGCATGCACCATCGCTCAATTCGTTAATCTAATAATACACTTCCAATCGTTTGATAATGTTGTATGACTAACACTTGATAGTTTATACTTGATGAATGTGTCCTTGCACAAAACTCCACTTGAGAAGAATGATACCGAGTTATGTTGCACATCGTCAGCCAGATCCGGGAAGAGTTAGGCTATTAATGATAAGGCGAGTCTGATCAGCACAAAAGTGTGCGTAATTGTGATCAATATGAATCCCAAAATGCTCGAATAAATGATAGGAGGAAATTTCATTGATTCCGAATCAGACAATTCCGACGAGCTCGCTTCTTTCGACGTTCTTTGATAAAGATACAACGAGACTGAGGATCAATTTGGAAAAATGGCAGAGTTCGAGTTCGATCAATGCAACGTTTCCAAACGTGAAATGTGGACATCGCATTCCGTAGATGAAGGCGTGTATAATTAACATTTTAATTGATTCTGAAAATTCTCAACCACAACGCAAAACATATATTATATGTATCTTTTAAAATATCACTTCTTCTGTGCGGACGCAGAAAAAGTTCCTCACATACACAATTCAACTTTTATTCCGCGACAAGCGAAATTCCTGTGTGAGTCGAATGAAATTGTGCAACTAGAAATCGGGTTATTATACTACATACTGCAGTAATTTAACGTACTTCCCTTGCATATTCTTTATCCTTAACTCTTTAGAAGCCATTGATCATACTTTTTTTATGGTTATTTTACATCGCTTCGACTCTGTTAGAATATATGGCGATGATGATTAAGACTTCAATTGATTAGATCTTACCATTCTGCCCGGCCAGAAATCGAACCTGGAACCTATCCGTTGTGAGGCAACGACCTTAACCACTATATTAGGCCACTGACTGTTGATCATACTTCATTGTGGCTTTTCATAATCTTTATTTTCTCAACGTACGGAGAGTTTGTTGGGATTCATATCATTTTTCTCATGGCAAACTTTTGATGGGATTAACATGAAAAAAGATAACATTTTTGATTTCTTTTCTTTCGAATGGAAGCATTGCAATAGTTCGATTTTTTGATCCTGTAATTTTGCTTGGAATTGATGTAGAACAGTCTAAAATTTAAAATACAAAGTTTGAGAGCTCTGTGTGTGTGGGTAGTCAACCCATGGTCAATTTTTAGAAAAGAGGAAGAATAAAGCAGTGAGTTTATTTCAAAAACTCTGTCATTTTGTTAGTTTAGAGTTCCTAATATGAATTCGTTCTGGGATTAATTTCAGCCTAACCGGTCGAGTAGTTTTCGAAATGACGTTGATTATTTTTGAAAAGTTTTTAGCAAATATCTCAGAAACTATCCAACCGATTTCATTGTTTTTTTTTTTTCAAATATTCGTCCCATTGTGCTGTACACAGATCAGGCAGAATATATATATATATATATGTATTCCTACAAAGTTTTTGAGACATTTAAAGTTTTGTTTTTTCGGAAAATTCGTTTTACGCGTTCTCCGATTTTTTCAAGTAAACCTAGCAACTTGTTTTATCATGCAATGCTTGTTATGACTCACGAAGTTTCAAGGTGGTGCGAATATTTTCCTGTGTTTTTTCTGAACTTTTCAAATAAATCATAAAATTGTTCAAAAAACGTAAGAAATTATCACATCATCACGAAACTTCGTGAGCCACTAAATAATAACAAAACGTAAAAGCTTTAATTGGTTTCAGATCAATACCATCGTAAGTTTGCCAACAAAAAAAGGGGGGGGGGGAATTTTGGGGGAAAAAAGCGAAAAATGATCTGGGGGCCGATTCTCGACACTTGGGGGTGTAATCCGTGAACGAATATTTGGTATTCCCTTGAGAACGCTGATTCGTCAAACACGTACCCATACGAATGTGATTCGTAGACGGATCGGCAATATTCGTTAACGGATTAGTCATTTCGTAAGTCTTGCGATTCTCACCTCCGAATGTATGAATGCATCGTTAAAAATTATTGTGGTTAGTATTGTTGAACAACGTCAATCACTTGAATTACCCTCTTTTGTGCTTCGGTATATTTTAATAAAACCTTCTCCTGTCAATTCCTCGAATGGATCCCCTGCATTATACAGATTTCGAGGGCGATGCTGTTCTTCTTCGATCTCTTCCAGATCCCTCAAAATTTCATTATGTAGAAAACGGCGAAAATTATCCATTTTTTTAATTAGAAAATTTCATAATAGAAATTCAATTTTTTTTATGCAATATAGGTTAGGCGCCTTCAATCTTTAGAATACTTCGTATGGGAATAAGATTCGTGTGGGAAAACAAAATTGTTGAACGAAAGATTTTCCCTCACGAATTTAAAATTTCCAAACGAAAGTGATCAACGAATCATTCATTCGTTCACGGATTACGTTCCGTTCAGGGAAGACGTTTCCCATCCGTCGAGAATAGGCCTCCTGAAAATTTCTAAAATATCGACTATGTTCTACATTCGGTATTCGCTTAAAAACCTATTCATATAAACAAAAAAGCCAATCAAGCAACTCCCGATTCGAACGACAGCCATATTGCATGGTTTAAATTCGTGCGTTTATGACGTCTGGCAACGTTTCGCTCAAGTTATTATAGGGAACGAATTGACGAGATTATGTATGAGATATATGGGTAGCGTTTAGATATGATCATTGAAGGTTGGATCAATAAAAGTTGAGTGAAGAATTCAATAAAAAATTTTTCACAATATCTGATCAGAAGAATTACCAAAAAAACAATTTACTAATGAGAAATCCGGGAGAGTGTAGCAACAGCAATATTTTTCGCGGAACAAGAATTTTATTTGAAAAAAAGTTGTTAAATTCAAAAACGTACTTGGATGTGCTTGCAAAAATCATTTTTTCCTTTTTTTTCTTTTTCTCTATACTGAAGAAATATGTACCATTTGTTTTGTTATATTTACAAACTATCTTTTACCACGAAGTTTTGAATTTTCTAACAAGTAAAATTTTTTATAATTAGAGAAGAGTAGGGCAAAAGGAACGATGCAAAAAAGGGGAATGCGGGCAAAATGTAATAACACCGATTGCTTACATTAACTTTTTTTCTTCGTCAGAATCTCATCAACATTTTGCCGAAAATCCACAAAAAACATAAAAAGTGCGGAGAAACAGCAATTCCTTAATTTCTGATTCTGATATTTTATCATAGAACTTCACATTTTTCAACTAGTCGTCCATATGTTCTCATGACAATAACTTGAAATTCAAACAACTTTTGATGAATCAATTATTAGATTATTGAAGAAATACAGACCGTTGAAAAATATTCTATTAAGTTACACAATGATAGTAAACGAATATTTTCCATTAAAAATATGTTTATAATTCATATTTTGTTCTGCTCTTCGGCTCAAATATTAAAATTGACATTTATTTGACAATAGGTTGAAACCCATGTATACATATTTTTATTAACAGCCTGACAAACGGTAATTTAGGGATTTGATTTATTCGATCAAAACTGGATTAGAACCATTTTTAATGGGCCTAGTTATACATCAAAAAGTATCAAAAATATTTGGCAGATTTTGTAATTTTATAATATGTGATAATAATATACATGCATATGTACTTATCCAACAAGAAGAAAAATTCATCAAAAATTATAGATTTGTATTAATAACTGCATATAAAATGATCTTCATTTTTTTAGTACCATTTTCGAAATATTTTTACTGAACTGAGAAAAAAGGAAGCATAGCTCTTCCTGTATTACTAAATTAGTGTAACATAGTACATTTTAAGGCAAGAAGTATTCGAAAAAATGTTTTAGTTGGATTCGCTGGAAACGATTTTTTTTCCTCTTTCGGTTAAACCGTGGATTCCCTGTTTCAAAAGATCAATCAGTTATAACACTTATTATGAAAAGACGTAATCTCTTGACAAAGTCAAATTGAAAAGCCTTATAATTGAGAACTAAAGAAAATATGAAAGAAGAAAACTCCTGACCTGTACGTACACGCCCGTAGTTGCATTCACCGATCACGTTTGGAAGGCCTTCTCTCACTTCAACCTGGAACACCACTACCATACGTGTAAATCCACTCGTTCTATTGAGGAACAACGAAATCTCCTTTTTACTGTCTCATTTTAATCACCAGCTATGAATATGAGCACTCGATTGGATAAGCTTTTCGGAATGGTGAGCCAAAAATTATAGCCTGAATTGTTTAGAAAAACTACAGAATGAAACCGTCGTCGACGGCGGCTAAAAACGAATATGCAATGCTTCTCGATGAAGAACCCGAATTTGCGAATCCCCTGAACATTTCCATAGTTTATTATTACTTCACTTAGAAAGATTTTTTCTCATGAATGAAACTAATTGTTAACAAAATTCCAAATAATTTTTCAAGTTCAAGAAGTATATCAGTGTGGAATTTCAGAACTTATTAACAGTTTGTGCAACCTATTAAATTCGTTTAAAACTCCTCTACCAGCCATTCAATTTATATAATGATTAGAAATTCGACAAATTATTTTCAAATTCATGCACCTAATGATGTAACAGTCGCATTTCCAAGAACGAATCACTCCAATCGGAAGCTGCAGGATGGAAAGTAGTGCTAGTTTT